CTGTCAGATCAATCCGGTTTTGGGTTTTGCCGGGAAGTTAAGAGCTCGAATTGAATCCTGCAAGCTGTTCAAGTTCCCCCCTTTCTGGCGGAAGATTTGGACATCTTTCCCAGGTTCGAGTAGCTCCTTTATTGGATTGTACTTGTCTTGACAGTCTTAACCTTGCGAAGAGTGACTGAATTTCTTGACGTTGCCCACTCCGTCAGTAGCAGTCTGTTCATATTGATGGCATCATTTGCGCCCATCACAGCTTTGTCGACCTTGCAGGCTGCAGGAGATACGCCTACTCATCTTCCTGCACGTACGCTCGAGGGCTGTGAGAAGTCGGACCGGGTTGTGAAAAACAGAGGCAGCTGTTTGGTGCTAGTATTGGCATGGCCGCAGTACCGATGAGCCAGCCTTGTACTGAACACGCTGTCCTCATCAAAGGTGTACTTGTGAAAATCAGTCCACAGTCCACTTGTTTCTGCTTCGAAGCGTTGTTGTAGTTGCGTGGTTCGCTTCCAGGATGCGATCCTGTTTGGTTCCGTGGGTGGGCCGGTGGACCAGCAGCATGAGCAATGCACCCAGCTTGTTGCGTTGGTTTGAAAAGAGCATGTGTACTTCATGATGTAGAGAACTGCAGGCCGCGATGGAAAGACTGCGAAAAGAATGCGTTGTTGGGCTTGAGAAAGCGAGACTTGGATGAAGAGGTTAGAGCTCCGTGTAGTCACTGCAGGGGAGGACTGAGTCAGGCTAGCTTGCAAGAGTCTGCCAAATCTGCACGTGGTTGGGGTTCAGTGTCATTGCTGGTGTTGCACGTAAACAACTCACACCGTGAAAACTTTTTTCTCGCAAATTGCAATGAGACGAAATGAGCTCGCCCTGTGCAAAAAGGGCTGACCTTGCATGGGGCCCCACAAAACCGTTTTGCAGTTTGCTACTTTGGAACGAGTGAACGTGTTCAAGGGTCTCGGTGTTGCGTGCTGAGAAAGCAGCATCAACTGGGCCTGTCGTTTGGCAGCTGCTGCATGGATCGTTGTCCAGATGGCCACGGCCTATGTCTGATGCCACATGCAAGGAAGATCCAGGAAGCATCAGCCAGAAAGCATTCGTGGATGGAAGGCTTGCAAGCGATACGCATCGATCTCGGGTAAATCGAAGGACTTCGATGTTCGCTTGCGGCTTGCGATGATGGTTGGCAGCAGCTCTCGGTGTCGAAGGGAGACATAGTCCGTGCACTGCTGGGATGGCAAAGCACCTTCGGGTCCCGAGCGCGAGGTCCACACGGTTGCGTGGGCACGTTTGGCGTGGAGCATATGGTGCTCCGCTGTGCCACAATGTGGAGTGCAATTTCAACTCATGGGACCGTTTTAGGAGCCTCAGCGGGTGCTGGAATGGTGCTCCTGAAATGGTTCTTGTATATGTAAGGCTTGGGCTGCTAGGTGCTCTACCATTGTTTGAGGTCTACGTGGGCATAATTTTGCTCCACAAGCCGCTGTTTCAAAGCTTGGCTCATGGCCCGAGCGGCACGACGCGCAAGGGAGCACCCTTCCGCAACACCGCTGCTGTCCCGGCTGAGGCTTCAAGCTGGCGGTGAACCTCAGACCTTCGAAGGCCGCAGCCGAGACTTGAAAAGCTCAACATGTCGAGACTTGAACGTGGAAGGTGTACCCATTTCTGTCACATCTCTGCCCACTGAAGCCATCCATCATAGGCCGTTTGCACAGCTTCATGCGGTTGCATTCCAAGATTGAGAAGTGATCGCGTGTCGTAGAGCTGTTCAAGTCAGCGGGTACTTGTAGCTTATTGCAGCCTTCAGACACGAACATCTCGACCTGGGAGGCACAGGAGTTGACATGGTCATTATTCGCGAGTTGGTGGGAGGCGGTCGAAACAAAGGGTTTGCTGTACGCTGAAGCAACTGTTTCCGCAGAATGTGCTTGCTCTGGCGAAAAGGAATCTACTTCGGCGAGCACAAGAGAGATGGAGACAAGGCCCACCTCCATCGCTCCCTCTCGCTGCTCTAGCTCATGCTTTCTGAGTCATCACCGGGTGGCAGCAGCCATATTGAATATTGCAGGCTTTCGACGTCATGGAGTACACCGCATCAAGCTGAGACGGAGTGAAAGCTGAGGCCATTTTGCAGCCAATTTGCAAGCTGGGTTCAAGGTGGAAGGGATCAGAAAGCCGATGGTCTTTGCGTTCGAGGCGGCGAGGCTTCGACGGAAGAAGGCGAGTTGACGGCTGCAATTTCGTTGTCGCGGGAGTTTACGGTGCCGTTCTGTTCTTGGGGAGGTGACGGTGGTGGACAAGGCAAATGTGCTGGAGTGTTCCCGCCTATGGCGCGAGGTGCGGAACCGTGCAGCCGAAAGCAAGCGCTGGGTGTCTTCGTGTCTTCCTTCTGCTTTTTTGGCACTTTCAGGTGGCTCGAGAGGTGCATAAGGGCTACCCAGATGTGGAGCTGGACTTCATGCCTCTAGACGCTACCGGAGTCGAGCAGTAGTTGAGTTAGCAGTACATCATTGCGCACAACAATGCTCTTCTGTGTCGCCCAGGTACATAGACAATGCGTGCATGCAGGTTATCCAGAAGCCGTCTTTCTTCGATGTAGTTGCGACCGGGACAGCGCGAGAAGTGTTGAGACGCTGCCATGAGAGCAGAGCATGACCGAAGCGGCAGGAACATGTTCGGAGACATCCTGTCCGATGCGGCAAGCGTCCTTCCGGGATCACTGGGACTCATGCCGCTCAAACGAAGTAGAACACGCATTGCAAAGCAGAGAAACATGTACACAGATGTTTCTGGCTTGACTACAAAATTCAAGTAGGCCAACGGAGATGACCAGCCATAGCGATTGCACCTAAAGCCTACGACCATCTACGACCAGTGCTCAGCTCTCCCCTCGAAGCCTTTGGCTGCAAGATTTTGAGGCCTTCAGCATCACTGGGCGATGGACTGCACATGTACGAGCCCAGCGGAGGCAGTGCGCCGGACATAGCAGGCTTCGAGATGAACTGCTTTCCGGTGTATTGTGTGTAATCGGAGCCTGAATGGCCGTTGAAGGCAAAGGGGTGGCGAACCCAATCGCGCAGATCTTGAGCGGTGCTATGATGCTGAGGCCTGGCCTCCTTCACTTCTTTGCATCCCTTCGAGTTTTGAGGAGAAGTGATTCAGTCGTAAATGCACGTGTGGACCGAACTCCCTCAGCAAGCTGATTCCTCTCGGAGCTACAGCTTCGGAGGTAACTCTGCGATGACACTGTGACACCTTGACCCTCCATGCCTGGCCCGATGCTGGCCGTAGTGCTCAGACGTGTGAGATGCGCCTCCACTGTCGGTTCACGAGCTGGCGACGACGTCTCTTTCCAAGGCCCAAGGCTCTCTCCTTTCGCCCCCCAGCATTAGAACCTTGCAAGGAGCGTTTGTTCACGCTGCCCCAGCCTGACTCTCGCCTCCACAGCTCTTAAAGCGTAGCTTTGGTTATGGACCGTTGAGGAATCCAAGAAATTCAGGGTTTCGGTGTCCTGATGAGAAGAGGAAGTTCGACCCTGCGATGCCGTTTCTGTTGCTTCATGTTGTGTGTCTGGGCTCGCGAGCGACTGCACGGGCATTTGCAGTCACGTTTGCTCGTCCAAATAATTTTGTGCCATTTCAATGCCGTCAGTCGACAAATCACGAAGCGTTTTCTCTTGAAAAAACGAGGGTGTGGGTGAGGACTCGCACAGAAGGGCTTGAGGACACAAGTAGTCTGTGAGGAGCATCTATGGGAACTTTCTTGCCAAAAGGCGTGCATCCACCAGGGACAAGAAAGAGCTCAATTGATCAGGGAGTGAAATGCAAGAGGGATGTGGCGCAATGTGGCACATGATGGATCGAGCGAGCCAAGTCTGAAGGTATTCCTTCCAGCTGGAAAAAGAGGCAGCCGCCGTTGAAGCTGCCTGCGAAGAAGTCTTGAAGCACAAAGCTCAGAACGAACAAGGACAGTGATGTCTGGCAGATCGAATTGGACCAAGGTCAGGGAGACTCACAGGAGACCTGTTGGAGGAAAGTCAACGCAGCAATGCTGTGTCGACCAGTGCGATAGGCGACTGCTGCTGGGTTGTGAAATCTGCTGGGCTCAGTACGCCTAGTGCATGAGAACTTTCGATAGTTTGCATTTTGCCTCCACTGAGCTCTCTTGGCCAGGTGATGCTGTGGTAGCTGCTCTGAAAGGGCCTTAGAGACTGTGCCGAGCTCACCGCACCAGCGGAAGCTGCCTGGTGCACCTGGCACCGCTACTTTGGACTCCAAAGGCTTCGAGCGCGTCGAAGCCTTTTTTCCTGGGTGATTTCTCAACGTTGGAGCTTTGGGAGCACCAGATTCGATGGTTCTGTTGAAGACGGTCGTCGACTGCGTGTAGCAGCGTAGCATGCTCAGAGCGAGGTTGCAGGATTGCAGGATGCGAAGTGATACTCTCAAGCCTCACAAGAAGGGCTCACATCTCGTTCACGAGCAACTCCTGACAGAGTAGTTTTTTCTGCTGGAGAGGATGCGCGCAACAGAGAGTCGTCGAGTGCGCCTGGTACATTCGCGGAATGCCTTTTGCCCTCAAGCGGAAACCGTACCAACCTTGCATGTCACCTCTAGCTCAAGCACATGCAGTCTTTTGTAGACTTGCGTATTTGCGCAGTAATTACAACTACCTCTCAAACACGATTGTTCTAAAGCGGCCAATATCGATAAGTCAATAAGGGAATCAACCAAGCCCACAGTGCCTGTCGATGCAAAGACTTTCCGGGCAGAAGTTCCAGGCACGAGTGGGTGGACATGGCGTGGGAGTAGGCGGAATGGACTGTTGTTCACCCTCCCGGGACATACTTGTATGGCACAGTCCGCCCTCAAATCTCAATTCTGTTCAAGCGCTTGTACGACTTTATTGATGGACCAAAGGCGAGAGACAAGCTGTGTGCAGCTAGCCATTTTGGCTCAAGCTCGGGACCAAGTCGTGGAGGATTCGAAATCATTAGGCCGTGCCAGCCCATGTCGGTTTCAGCCGGCGCTTTGGACATCGCTTTTGCTTCAGGGGCTTTGCGCTCTATCGGCTTCTTCAATGGGCTTGAAGTAGAGCAGGCCTACGATTGGATGTTCGAAGAGGGCAGGCATTGTCTGATGAATTTAGACTGCTGCTTATCTGCTGCAGGGCGATTATCACTCAGGCCGGTGCTCGACGCACTGACTGCTCTTCAGGTTGGGGCTCGCGAGCCCGTGGGTACTGGAGTTCTTGCGTCTGGCGCTCATGGGGCACATTCGTATATGGATTGGTGCCGCATGTTTCCTGAAGAGCGTGTTCAGCTTTTGCGCTGTCTACCTAGCCTCTTGCTCCTTTGCCGTCCCGCCGGTCCCCTGGAGAGAGCAGTGCACTATCTTCGAGATTTGATGCAGCGCGGCTTCGAGGACCGTGCCTTTTGCTTGTGTGCTGTTGTTTTGCCCCTACACGGGCCCCGCAGCAGCACCATGGCTCTAGACTTGTGTGATCGTTTGAGGGCCACCGGGCTGCAGCCCATAGCGCCCTTGCTCTTCGATCATGGTGTCCGGCAACTTGCCGACATAGTTCCTAACACCGCTTCTTTGCTGGCTGCGGGGCGCAGGCCTGGCAGCTTGAAGCTTTGGTCTTAGGCCGATTGGAGGTCAACATTGCTGTGCCCAGCGGGCGGCCGGATCACCCACAGGTTCGCCCTCGTAAAAGAGCTTCGTGGGCATTGGCGGAGGCTGCCCAACCGGCAAAGAGGCAGGCGGCCCTCGATGCTTTGCAGGCAGATGTGCTCGCGGCGACCACTAAATCATCAGTGGATAGCCGTGTCAAGGCGTGGCAAGAGCTTTGCCTCGCCTGGGAAAAGGTCCCTTTCCCGATCAAGGTCGAGACTGTTAAGTGCATCGGTGCCAGCTTGAAGGCGGGCGGTTACCACTCTTGCTCCAATTATTTCGGGGCGGCCGTGGGGCATCAGATGCGCACCATGGGTGCCCCGATCGGGGAAGATGTGCGCTGGGCCATTAAGGACACAGTGCGGGCCATCACGCGTGGGTTGGGACCGTCTCAGCTTAAGGACAGCTTCGATTTGGAGCTCCTGCAGCCCATTGTGCCTTACACCAGGCAGCGGGCAGAGTTCCACGTGGGCCAGCTTGATGCCGAGATCGATCTGGCCCTCATAGCTGCATGGTGGATGCTTCGCGAAATAGAGGTTTCTAACGCTCGTGTACACCATTTGTACCTCAGCCGGGACGAGTCCTTCCTTGCGCATTTTCTCGTTCCCATCTCGAAGGCTGACACACAAGGGCATTTGACCGTGCGCTCCTATGCCTGCATTTGCAGGGCTCGCTCTGAGAGGCTGTGCCCGTGGCACGCCGCCGACCGGCACTTGCATCGGTTGTACCTCTTGCGCAAGACTCGCAGGCAGATCACGTACCTCTTTCCTGACAGTGACGGCGGCCCTCTCTCCAAGGTGCAGGTAGTTCGCATCTTCGAGCGAGTCCTCTCTGCTGCTGGCATTCCTTTGACGCGTCCAGACGAATGTGGCCGGGAGGTTCCTCGCTTCCAAGGCCATGTTATGCGAGTGAGTGGCACGCAGTTTCTGGCAGCCATGGGGCTCAGCGTCCCCATGATCCAATTACAGGGAAGATGGAGCAGCCGTGCCATCGACCGTTATGTTCAGTTGGCGCCATTGCTTCGGATGCCACAGGCTGTTCGTGAAGCCAGGAACCGCGGATCCAGCTCTTTCCTCATCGGTGCCGGGCCCGGTGCGCCTGCTGTGGCGGCAGCCCCTGAGGCAGTTGAAGGACATCCCCAGTCGCCACCGCCGGCCGCGAACAAACCACGGCCAGCCAAGAAGAAGGTCGAGACGATTGATGTCACAGGCGACGCCACCGAGTCGCAGCGTGATGGCGTCTCCGCGGGGCAGGTGCAGAAGGAGTTGCATCAGTTCATGGCGGCCGTCTTGGAGCCCAAGGAGATGTTGGTCGTGCAGCCGCGCCGGAAGGTTGCTCATGTGATCGCCGTTCCCGAGGAATCGCATGACATTGCGGTTTGGCGCACCTCGTGTGGGTGGGCCTATGGATGGTCCCATTTCTATCGCGCAGAGAAAGGGGCCTTGGGGCCAGGTCTGCGCTTGTGCAAGCGCTGTTTTCCTGAGGAGACCGCCGACTCGAGCGACTCATCCTCGTCTTCTTCTTCTTCTTCTTCATCGGATTCGGGGTCTAGCTGAGCCGGGCTTTGTCAGCCTGTGATTGCTCACACCAGCCGGGAGTTTTGACGTTTCCTGGCGGTCCACCTCTCTCCTTAGAAAGGGCGCTCCGCTGCTTTAGGATTCACGGCCTTTTGTCGCGAGCGCCTCCTGAGCTTCTTCGATACGTTGCTCAAGAAGTTGCGAAGTGTCCCGAACCGCCTCAACCAGTTCAAGATCTACTACGAGACGGTGGCATGGAGGCTGGCACAGGCCCTGCGAGCCAACACTCCGTTCCAGCAGGCGGTGCGGGGCGTGCTCGGGGACACCATCCTGTGGCAGGAGACCCTGGCCAAGGAAGTCACCACGCCCACGGCGGCCGAGAAGCCCAAGAAGCCTGAGACGCCGCCGAAGCGCCGATCCAAAGACACTCCTCCTCCACAGGCTCCCGCCAAGAAGGGCGACACAGGCTGGGGGCAGCAGCAGCGCAAGGTCGTGGCGGCCGGACCCCCACCAAGGGTCCCACAAGAAGAAGGACGAATGAGAAATCGTGGGGACTCCGACCCAGTGGAGATGGGCATCCAGTGCCTGGGGATGCCGCGGCGCCCTCGTCTGGATCAGCGCACGCGGCACCGAAGGTCAAGGCCATGCCACGCAAGCCGGCGCAGGCTGCTTCTACCAGCGCTGCCGGCTCGCAGCCGAACCCTGGGGTGATCTTGCTGTCCTTCTTCGATGGCATCGGTACTTCTGCTTTGGCTGCCCAGGATCACGCCCGGATCGTGCACATGATGGCTTGGGAGGTGGACCCTGCCGCCACGGCTGTGTGCAGTGCACATTTCCAGCACGTTGTGGAGCACAGGGGCGATTTTCAACAGGACAGCGCAACGGCAGTCGCTTGGATCCTCAGGCCTACCACACGTTGCTGGTGACGGCCGGGCCACCTTGCCCCGACTTTAGTCGGGTCCACGACGGCCCCGGCCGTTCGGGGGAGACTGGACAGCTTTTCAAGCAGTTCTGTGATTTTCTTGATGAGCTGGAGGCTTTGTTGATTGGCCGCACTCTTGCCGTGCTCGTGGAGAACGTGATCATGGCCTGCTACGGGGATATCAACTACTTTTCGCAGCGCTTACGCTGCGAGCCGATCGTCGCCGACTCCATTGACCTCGGTGTGGTACATAGACCACCTCCAAGATCAGGTTAGGCTATTTTGGGACATATATCCTATTTGGCAAAATAGTTTATTTTACCTGGAAATATACTATTTTAAATAGACTATTTCGCTCTTGTTTCATAGTCTATTTTTCCGGTTATTTGGTAAATAGACTATGCAAAAACAGGTTATATGGTAGAATATAGGATATTTTCGCATATGTTGGAAACCAAAAAATCATCGGAAATCCATACAGAACAAAGTCAGTCTTGCTTAGAAAAAACACGTGTGCGAATAGGGAAATGTGTTGAAAACCGATCCGTGTTGAAAGATTTTCTTGAAATGTTAACTCGTTTGATACCGAGGAAATCAGCACGGTCCATTAAACACTCGTGAAAAGTTTGCCCTAGACCCTATACCTTGGACCTGAAAATCTAGGAGCCCTAAACCCACAGCATTGACTCGCGAGGACATTTTTTCCTCACTCTCCACAAAGCCTGTCCAGCCGCAAGTGCCAAGCTATGCGGAGCTGCTGCGACATTTTTGCCGCAGCCCGAGGGCCGGTCACAGCCCGGCAGCAGGAGCCAGCCAAGGTTCGAGAGATCTTCTGAAGATCCTCTCCTTTGAAGCACCATGTGAGCCGGGGATGCAGCACATCTGCCAAAAGGCAGGCATGCAAGAAGAAATGCATCTTCGGGAGGTCTGCGAAGTAGTTTCCTTCAAAGTGTTCCCGCAGCTGTCGGTGCAGCTGGCAGAGCCCGAAAGCCAATTTCTTGAACTTCTCCGCATGGTCTGGAGGCATGGCCATCTCCGTCCTCGTAGCATGCAGGATCTTCTCGAGGGCTAGATTCACCTTCAAGTAGTTCTCGATCTTGAGGTGAATTTCGAGGTCTTTGTTCATGAAATTCTGCCAGCAGAGGAGTAGTGGTTCCCCCAGAGCCTGGATCTGCATGGCTCTCCCCTTGAGTTTCGGCGGGAGCTTCTTCCTCTGAAAAAGACTGAGCTTTCTCATGCCCCTGAACCTTTCCACGATTTTCAAGGCTTTGTAGGAGCTGAGCAGGTGCTCCCACACACATCGCAAATTCGCGAGAGGTGAGTCGGGCAACACGAAGTTGACGAGCAAGCTCAGCACACTCCCGAATCCCAGAGGATCCAGCCCCAAGTACTTCGTGTGCATGTAGTCCATGTGGCAACTGAGTGCAGAGCATACTCCGCTGTCGAACAGCGGGTTTTTCGGGCGGTCCGGAAAAGACCGCCACTCTGCCAAAGACCATTGCATGCTGAGCCATGGCGCTGTCGGTTTGCAATTCCTCCAGGAGGTGGAAGTCTCGTCGCCCGAGCATTTGCAAAGGCCGCACGGGTTGTGCTTTTGGCCAAAATGTGGCATGTTCAATCTTGAGACCATATACTCAAGATCGCCGACCAATGCCCAGATGACGCCTTTCCACCCCCCCGCCAAGGGCGATCCTGCCTTACGGCCCAGGTCGCTCGTGGGCGGGTACCTCTGACAGTGTGAAAGCTGACAGAAAAGTGTTACTTCGAACAGTCCATTGTCTGCCACCAAAAGTTGCTACTTAAAGTTTGTTGCTACTTAGAGCGAAGCTTTGCTTATGTGTGAGTAGACTTTGGATAGCACATCTTGCCTGTGACTCATGAAAGAGATTAGGATTCCATTTTGTTGCTTATAAGACAGAAAAACAAGAGGTTATCGCTAGTGTTTCGCTGCTACATAGAAACTTTCGTCCTTTACACATTCGACTTGGGCTTTTTACTTATAAAGAAAAGAAAAGGCATTCAGCTCTTATGCGACGTGTTTCTACTTCTGTTAGAAAGAGAATGAGTTTTATCCGATTTGACCCCAACCAGAAAGATAATGATGCAATCCCGGGTGCAGGTTGCCCTTGTGGTCTGCAAAGGGCCAAAGACCTTCTTGCAGCACCTTGAAGCTCCAGGCCAGCATGCTGAGGAAGGTAGTCGCTGCTGTGCCGTCATCTGTTTCATCGAAGAGGAAATAAATGGGCAGTTGCGAATCCTTGGTCCAGGCAGGACCACCAACCAGGCTACACCAGCTCCAGGTGGTTAACATTCGGCTCCATATCTTCCCGACACCTATTGCAGGTGTTCCATCGCCGTGTAAAGAAAGCGGCACGAACTTTCGAGGCTCAAAGGAAGCCTGGCTTACCACAGGGTGGTCGTTGAACTGCGGGTGCTTCTTCTGTAGCCGCCAGAACTCCTGCAAGACATTCGCATCGGCCACCACGTACCGCTTGAAAGCTTCGTGGTAATTCTCGTACAAGGCGGAGAACATCTCATGAGGCAGCATCATGAGCTGGGGCTGATTTCCCCAGGGCTGCTTGAACTGTAGAGCAGTCCGCTGCAAAGGCGGCAATCTGCAACCAACTTCTGTAATTTTCATGATCTCACGTCTCATGTTGTTAGGGTGGATGCCGCCTGAACCCAGCTTCGCCAGAGCTTGCAACTCCGTTGGGGCCTTTGCTCCACAATTCTCGAAGTCTTTGACAGCCTTCGCAGCCAGTGCCTGCATGGCCTGGACAGACAAATCGCCCCAAGACCATCTTTCCTTCAGGTCCTTGGCCAAAAAACTTTCAGAAACAGACGGCTGGTCCTGCTGAGCTTCGGCGGCGGCAAGTCGCTGTCTCTGACCCACCACTACTCGTCGTCTTTTGGGAGCAGCTTCTGCTTCGCCGTCCATGGCTGCAGGGAGGTGTCATTGCTACGTAGAGAGAAGGCCCTTTTTTGCTACTTATAGAGAACTCTGATTGAAGGGACGGGGCCCTTAGAAAGAGGAATAAATCTTCATGGGTGTGGTGCTTCGGTTTTCCTATAAACCTTGTCTAGCGGCCGTCTGTGGGGCCATTAAAGAGACCATTGTGTTACTCAGAAAACTGTGATTGCGGGGACGGGGCCCTTAGAAAGAGGAATAGATCTTCACGGGTGTTGTGCCTCGGTTTTCCTATAGACCTTGTGTAGCAGCCGTGCACCGGGAATCTGTGGGGCCATTAGAGAGACCGAAATGTGGATCTTCACCCAAGATTTGAGGGCCATTGGGCATTAGAAAAAGGAATACACAAATGGATGTTTCTGTTGTGAGCCTGCCTAGGTTTTTTCTACCGCAGGGCCAGAAAGAAGCTGTGCAAAGGAAAAGTTCACTGGGAGGTGGCTCCAGAGGGGTTTAGGCTGAAGACTTGCAAGATTCTGCACATCACCGGCTGCATGCTGCTGGTCCTCACACGAGTCGTGAGAGCTTTTTTGCGAGGAAGCCGCTTTCGTGGAACTATTCTCGGTGCCTGGGGCAGAGAGGGGCCCTAGCGCTCAGCAGCTGCACACCTGCACAAGGCCATGCAGAAAACCCGATGTCTATGGGCTCTGCTTCCCGGCGGCCGCAGGTGATTTGCTACTTAGAGCCGGGCCCTCTGGTGGGGCTTTGCTACTTAGAACAAGCCCGCAGGCAAGATAGAAGCCTCTGTCTGTGAAGCCCTGTGAGAGCCTACATCGTCTATGTCTAGCATTCTTACACATGAGAAGAAAACCTTTCAATTAAATGGGGGCATGAAGAAAACTTTTCAATTTTATAGGGACCTAGAAACACAGACAGAGGCAACACCTTGTCTGCAACACGGCCAAGAAAAGGAGCTCTTTCAGAGCTCCTTGCGGGTTTTCAACAAAGCCCGGAACTGCTCCACCTTCTCGTTCAAAGTCGTGACCGCAGCGGCCTGCTCCTTGACAAAGGCGGCGAAGGACTGCTCAGAGATGGCTTCTCCGGACGGCAGCTCATCCCAGGCGAGGGCATGCTCCTGCTTGTGGCTCCAGTCCTTAAGCTCGAGCAAAACCGCCTTGAAGTTCAAGCGATCCTCGTCACTCTTGCACTTCTGGGCCATTTTCATGCCCGTACCGTGAAGCTTGTCCACGGCTTCCTTCGCTTCCACCAGCACGGCCCGCTGCTTGTCAGAGAGCTTTCCAGACTCCAACATCTTCTGGGCCGCCTTGCTGCCGGAGGCGGAAGAGCTGGCCACATCGCAGATGGCATGGGAGCCGGCATCGTCGAAGTCGAAGGAAAGGTCGTCCAGGGCGGCACTCACCTCGCCGAAGGCGCCCTTGCTCAGCTTTTGCTCGCCGCCGTGGAGGTTGTGGTTGTCCGAGACCTTCTTCGCCATGCCACTCTTGAGTGTGCGGTAAGAGCACATCTCCACCCCGCCGACTGTCCAGCAGTCCACGGCACCCGTGTCGATGCCCTGCTGGAGTGCGGACTCGTTTCCGTGGTACGTCTCCCACAGAAACACGTGGCGAGGCTTTCCGAGTCGCTCGTCCTTGCCGTAGTTCTCGTGGCTCGCCGTCTTGGTGCTGCTGAAGACCGGGTCCTTGGGATTCATCACGAGCTGGCCGTTGCCATCCTTGACGAAGAGGGCATTGATCAGCTTGGACTTGCCGGAGCGGCTGGACGATTTTTCTATCGCCTCTTGTATGTGTGACGGGATTGCACCCGAGTCACACAACTTGCGATATTTTCTCGCCTTCACTTGGTCGCGGCCTTCGTCCTCGGTGGCGGACTGGGCCGCCCACCCCTTTGCCTTCTCGGCAAGGCTTTTGGAGGTTTTTCCACCCCCAGAGCCACCCCCGGAGCCACCCCCGGACTTGTTCTCCTGGTTGTCTGTGGGGGCAGCCTTCGCTTTGGCCTTAGCCTTGGTTTTGGCTTTGGCCTTGGCCTTTCCCTTGGCCTTTGCTTTTGCCTTGGCCTTTCCCTTGGCCTTGGGCTTGGACGGTGCCTTTGGCTCCTCCTCGTCCGGCTCGAGGTTCTCCTCCTCCTCTGCACCCTCTGGGTCTGCTTGGTCCGCCTCCTTGTCCGCCTCCTCCTCGTGCTTCTCGGCCGGGTCGTCTTCTTGCTCCACACCTGGCACCACTTCCAAAGCCTCGGTCACCTCTGGCGGCAGAGTGGCTGCCTTCTTTGCAGCAGGCTTCTTCATGACCCCCATTGAGGCCACGGCTACGGTGCTACAGCTCGCTGCTGTGTTGAGCACCCAAAAGCTGCATCGCATGTTCGGATGGGCAGGGTCCCTGCCATGTGTCAGAGCTTAAAGGTCTCTTCTGTCTGTTACTTTATTTTATAGCAAGCACACTACAAAGTGCAACCTGGAAAAGGAAAGCTCGAAGCATAGAATTTTGTTACGAAGCTTTGTTTGGTAACTTAGCAAATTTCCTTGCTACCTAGATTTTCTCTGTGACTTAGATTGCCTTATTTTTATTAGGAAGCACACTACACAGTGCAACCTGGAAAAGGAAATCTCGAAACATAGAAGTTTGTTACGAAGCTTTGTTTGGTAACTTAGAAAATTTCCTTGCTACCTAGATTTTCTCTGTGACTTAGATTGCCTCGTGTCCTAGTTGTGACATAGTTATGTGCTGCTATATGCTAGAGGAAGCTGCTTATTCTTTCTGCTACCTAGTTTTGATATGTGACATAGATTCGGTTCGAAGTTCCAAGATGTGACTTAGATACTAGATTTTCGCTGTGAGATAAGTGTCGTCTTGTTGTGACTTAGTTCTACTGCAATTTGCTAGATAGAACTTTATTTTCTGCTCGTTACTTAGCCTTGTTATGAGACTTAGATTCGGTTTCAAGTTGCTAGATGTGACTTAGATGTACTGAAACTTCCGTTTAGCTTGCTACATAGTTTTGGTTGATACTTGGGGTGGGTTACTTCTGGATCCTTTGTACCTAAAATTCGTTGTACGTAGATTTGTGACTTAGCAACATCTGCTACTTAGATTTCTTGCATGTTTGTAACATAAGACTAAATAGTTTCACGTAGCAAACTTCTAAAAGGTACCCGGGTCAGCTAGGTGCGGGTTTGCGAGGGTGGGTTAAGGAGTCTGGCTTTGTGGGCTTAAGCTTGCAGGTCCAGGGGTTTAGGGGTTCGTGCTTTCTGGGGGTTTGGGGTTGTATTGGTAGCTCTTTGGGAGACATACTTGATGGTGTAAGCTTGGGGGATTTTGGGGTTGAAGGTCGGTGGTTTCAGGGGGCTTCGGGTTCCGGGGCAGAGTGTTTATTGTGGCTTTGGGACTTACGTGGGTCAAAGCTCTTTAGCATCTTATATAGGTGTTGGGGTTCTGTGGGTGTTGGCCTGCGGGGGAGAAGGGGGTTTATAGGGGTTTTGGGCTTTGGGGCTCCAGGGCTTTGGGTTTTGGGTTTAGGTTTGGGGGTTAGGGTTTAGGGGCTTATAGGGTTAGGGGGGTTTCAGGGTTTAGGGCTAAGTTCAGGGGTTTAGGGGCACGGTTTAGGGTTTAGGGTTCAGCTTCTGGTCTTTCTGGGGGTTTGGGTTACATGTAAACATACCAGCACCCACACAGACACTTGTGTATATATACATACACATACAGACATATATATATATGTCTGTATATACATAGTGTGTATGTTACAATGTGTTCTAGCTATGTATAGATACATAGACATATCTGCATTTATGTATTTATATATATATATAGACATGTATACATACATAAAGTTTCCATAACCTATGTATATTCGATGTATTGTTTATGTTTTGTAAAAGCGCCTTTTTTAGGGGACCAGGGCTTTTAAGCAAAATGGGCTTGATAAGTTGATTTATAGCTTTAAATACATCTAAAGTTTCCATATTGTTCTTACAAAAACATCGATCCATTTGTTCAGAACAATCTATATTTTTTCCTTAAAAACTTGGTAGATTTTTTTAAAATTTTGGTAGATTTTTTAAAAAATTTGGTATATTTTTTAAAAAATTTGATAGATTTTTTTAAAAATTTTTACATTTTTTTTAAAATTTTTTATATTTTTTTTTAAATTTTTATAGATTTTCAACAAAATGGCGATCCAGTTTGAGTCCAGTTTGAGTCCAGTTTGAGTCCAGTTTCATACAAACTGGATCGCCATGGTTGAGTTTCATATGAAACTAAACCACCATGGTTGAGTTTCATATGGAACTCAACCATGGCGATCCAGTTTGTATGAAACTGGACTCAAACTGGACTCAAACTGGACTCAAACTGGATCGCCATTTTGTTGAAAATCTATAAAAATTTTAAAAAAAATATAAAAAATTTTAAAAAAATATATAAAATTTTAAAAAAATATAAAAATTTTTAAAAAAAATATACCAAATTTTTTTAAAAATATACCAATTTTTTTAAAAAATCTACCAAAATTTGAAAAGAATCCAGCAACATTTTAAAAACAAATCTAACAAAATCTTTCAAAAATGCATATCCAAACTTTAAAGAATTACATACCTTTTTGTAAAAACCTATACC